TGGGGGGATTTGGTAGCACCACTACAACTCCGGTCTCAGCATCCCCTGTGGGCGTTACCTAGGGTCGTCTGCATGCAAATACAGTCTACCTAGAAATGCCCACTCCTCCAGACTGATGATATGTACCCATTAATGTTCACATAACTACTCCCAAGATCCAGCTCCCAGAGGAAAACAAAGCAGTTAACCCCTGCAGTGCTTGCATCAGGGCATGGGGCTTTGAGAGGAGTCCCCTCCCACCAGCCATGATCTGCCTGCATTGTACAGAGAAGCAAAAAAGACCGGGTAATGTCATCACTGGGTCTAAAATAAGGTATGAAATTAAAACAGAAAGTTTTTATTTAAAATGTTATTAGCGTGTTCATGAGGGGAAAAGTAGGAACCGAGGAAGACATATTAGAAGCAGTGGCACGGTGCCCTCATTCAAGCTGCCTGCGGCACCCAAGCAGGGTGGAAGTCGCACTCCTTCCAGCAGCCCAAACCTCATGAGAAGACGGTCCCGAACAAGATTCAGGCTTCTCAGCATTCTCACGGATCTCATCAGCAGGAGGATGACATAACTGCACTATGGAAGTTGGTACTTTTATGCAGCATCTTGGGAAGGGGGGGTTGAATAAGCAGACCTGGTTGTTAAAATAGAAGGTCTGCTTTAAGAACACAAAGTCATCAGGAGCTGTGCTATGTCTGTGCCCAACGCAGATCATAGCCGACACGGTGCGTAGGATTGAACTGAGATTTGGCTTTTTGGTCTTTACACTTGCTCAGCTATGGTGGGAAGGGGAGAGGGCCACACTTAGATCCTAATATCATGAACTATTCCGCATGTGCAGAACATTTCCAGAAATACAGACTCCACATGCCAAGTGTTTCCTCTGGCCCCGATTAATGCTCACCTCCATGCTGGACCGTAGATGGAAGCACGTTTTCTCCCGCAGACAGCGATACGAAGAAGGCGAACGGCACGAGCCATAAGCAGAAGGTGAAGTAAGCCAGAACCTACAAAAAGAGGAACAGAGAGAATGGTCATCCCTGCTCATTGTGTCACAGTACAAAGTGGTCTCGTTCTGCAGGAATCACAGTTTAAACCTGAACTCAGAAGTATTAAAACACCTTTGCAATAATTTTCTCCTAGTTTCAGTCATAGGACCCGTATGGGGATCGGAGGTTCAACCATTGCTACACCTGCGAAGGGATCTGTCTGAGGTTCAGCAACGGTTACAGGACCCGTGGAGGGGTATATCTGAGGTTCAGCAACGGTTACAGGACTCGTGGAGGGGTATATCTGAGGTTCAGCAATGGTTACAGGACCCGTGGAGGGGTATATCTGAGGTTCAGCAACGGTTACAGGACCCGTGGAGGGGTATATCTGAGGTTCAGCAACGGTTACAGGACCCGTGGAGGGGTATATCTGAGGTTCAGCAACGGTTACAGGACCCGTGGGGGGGTATATCTGAGGTTCAGCAACGGTTACAGGACCCGTGGCGGGGTATATCTGCGGCTCAGACACGGTAGGTTCAGCAACGGTTACAGGACCCGTGGAGGGGTATATCTGAGGTTCAGCAACGGTTACAGGACCCGTGGAGGGGTATATCTGAGGTTCAGCAACGGTTACAGGACCCGTGGAGGGGTATATCTGAGGTTCAGCAACGGTTACAGGACCCGTGGAGGGGTATATCTGAGGTTCAGCCACAGCTATAGGGCCCATGTGGGGATCTATCCGAGGTTCAGCCAAGGTTACAGGACCCATTTCAGATCAGCCAGTGCAATCAGTGTCCCTGACAGATTACATGTTAATCTTGTGTGTCTGCTGAGAGCGGATTGCGGCTCCTCATCCTTTAGTGGAAGCCGTTTCATTACACTTCAACAAGCTGCATTATATTATGTAGTGGACTAACTGATGTTTTGGAACTAAAGTAGTAATAAACGCTCCAATTCTTTTCAATTTGAAATCCAGAACAAATCTACATCACCCAGCAAAGTATTCCTTTACATTTCTGCCCAAACACTTACAGTCATCATGCTTCCAAACAGGGAAAGCAAGCCGAGAGAGTTGGAGCCGAGTACAAGATCACAAGGGACAGCACAGTCTCCAGCAACTGTCCATCTACTAACTTGGAGAAGGGAAGAGTGAGGATCGGGGGATTGGCTTGCCCTGCTGTGCCTGTGTGTTTGTGAAGATACACACAGCTTACTATCACACACAAAGGTGGCTCCATAGAACCCTGCAAGGGAAAGGACTAGCCACCCTAAAACAAGATAACAGGACCAATACACAGGGGACCAGCTCATTCTGCCGGAAACAAACTTAAAAAGGCAGCATCCATTGTAAGTGACTTAATCAGCATTTGAAGTAGCCATTGACCAGAACCTTGGACTGATAGTAAAACATGGCTAACACAGAGGATCTTTTTGAAGAAGCTGCATGCCTGACACATGTACAAGTATCAGTTTCCAATAATTAATGGTAGGGATGCACCGATACTTTGAGTACCAGTGCCGATACTTGGCATTTTCATGAGAACTCCCAGGGTTGCAGAGGTTGCAGCTGGGACCGGGCTCTGGCGCTCCACCACTGTCCTGAAATCATTAGTCTGTATTGTTTTAGAAAAACTGTCACATGACACTAAACCAAAATGTATCAGTACTCGTATCTGTGAGGACTTGGGCAAGTATCAGTACTCGTATCTGTGAGGACTTGGGCAAGTATCAGTACTCGTATCTGTGAGGACTTGGGCAAGTATCAGTACTTGTATCTGTGAGGACTTGGACAAGTATCAGTACTTGTAAAACTGGTATCGGTGCGTCCCTTATATACATTTATAAAAACAAAATCATACATTAAAACAGAGATGTACAAATCCCAGGAGTTTAGTGTGCTCCTTACAAATGACAGCGGCCTCCTATGACATTTTTCTCTAGTCTGGTCTTGGAGCTGGAAAAGTATCTGTACTTGTACCGAGTACTGTACTTGGTATCGGTGCATCCCTAATTAATGGCGATTAGAAATTAGTTTGTGTTAAAGTAACTCTGTTGGGAGTGGTTTGTGAAAAGGACAACGCTCACATTCGTATGCCCAAACTCAGCGGTCCCATCCAAAAGGCCAGGTACCGGCCGGCAGAGGCACGCCACGGCCGTCACCAGTAATCCAATGCATGTTAAGCTGCACTCTTCAGCCGGGACCTCAATGTAAAAAAGGGTTATTCCCAGCACCTTACAATGTTATAAGCATGACAAGATCCACAGGCTCTGACATGTTTCACCACCCTCTGTTCTCTATTATTAAGCTTTGTTTTGGTGAAACTCTGTTGTTACAATCAAAGAATGAATTGTTTTCCCCGCTTAGGACAAGCCTGGAAGTGTCTTTAGGTGGCAATTTCTCTTCATTAGAACGATGTTCGTGGTGGAAGCGGTAAACATTTACTTTCTCCTGTGCAGGGAGACCATTTATTCACGGTTAGATTTTACCGACAGTGTCACATCAAAGCTGAAGTTTAATCTGAGATTTTATCTTCTCTGGTTCCCTCCCCCCTCATTAATATTCAAATTATATTATAAAAAAAAAAAATGCTTTCATTACACCGAGTGACATCATCACTGGGTCTCTATGCAATGCAGGCAGATCATGGCTGGTGGGGGCTGTACATACAGTTTGCCTGATTAAAGGGATCCTGAGACTCCGAAACGTTGCAGCTCGTGTTTTTGCTTTGCAACATGTACGCGAATAAATAGATGTACATGACTTGCCTTTGGGTGCTGGTGTCTCTCTTTTCATCTGCATATACAGAGGAGCTCCCTGAACACATCACAGCACCCTGCCTCTGTACTACTCTAAAGTGCCCTCAGCCCTGATGCAAGCAGTGGGCTGGCCCGTGGGAGATATGTAAATACCCAAATGCCTTGCTTGGTGGATGTCAGTCTGGAGGAGTGGGGGTTCTTAGGCAGGCTCTATTTCTATGCAGACCACCCTAAGTAACGCTCACATGCGATGCTCAACCTTCACGATTGAAAGGTCTGAAATCCAATGAGAAGGGACGGGCCAGGAGGAAAGATTGGATAACATTGGACATCCTCAGCCAGGAATTGAGGCGGGCTCTGACTTACTGCAGCTTCTATTTGCAAGAAGCTCACGGGGTGCAGTGAAATCAGAGCAAGCAATGTCAGTCCAGGAGAGGAGCCCGTACAGCACCGAAGGGAAGGCCGGAGTTCTGCATTAACAATGGACTAATTACCGGGCCCGTTTTTAGTAGCCCGCCCACAACAACGTACCTCTGAGAACGGGTAGTACTCTTCAGCGAAATGCTGGAAAGCCAAGTAGTGATTCAGCACCACCAGCACTGTAAAAAGAAAGACAATGACAGGTTTAGCAATGCGACGCAGACAGACGGACTCCCCAATAAAAAAAAAAAAGCGCACTACCCATCCATCTCCAGCACCGGAGGATGTCAGAACGAGGTCACCGTGTTCTACAGACATCATGTACAGAGATAAAACAGTCAGACTGATCCCGGTAACAATAACTGAAGGTCCGCATTGTACTCACTCTGTATACACATCTCCATCTAAGCTGGCTTGCTCTAGAACAGGTCATTCCAGCCTCTCCCCCGCTTCTCTGAAGCGGTCTAAGGTTTCAGAAATCATGTATGTAGACATGAGGACGCTGAGGAACATTCCCAATGCTGCATCGTAGGAGGAGATAGGCTTCTGAGACCGGAGAAGCAGCGAGCCAGCTCATCAGTTTGGGTGAGTACAACGTAGACAAAAAAAAAAAAAAGAGCACTTAACCCCTGCAGTACAGGAGTAGCACCATTGCTAAGGTAGTTAAACGTTTTGCCCGGAGTTCTTCTTTAAGGAGAATGAACGAGGAGAAGAATGCTAGGACCTCTATCAGCCATGTTGGAAGATTTTCCCTCACTGTCTGGCATAATGTTCTAATCTTTCTTATTCTATCCAAAACTTTTTAAAAACGGATGTAGATAAACTATGAAGAACTCTGTGTCTTCATCTGGGATGACATAAGAAACCGTACCACCCAGTCCAAGTTAGGAACCTTGGGGTATGAGCAGATCATTAAGTGGAAGACACTTACCACACGATAGTATGAAGTTGGGGGATGTCAGCAGGATAAAAGGGAACGTCTGCAATAACCCGAAATACACCACGTTAGTGAAGAGTCCCACTCCGATCATGATCCCGGGGAACCTCTCGAAAAAATACAGACCGATCAGCGCACCTGTAGAGAACTGACAGAGACCAGCAATGGTCAGAGATGAACCTACATTACCAACAGGACTAGAATTCTATTCCTTGGTGGTCACAAAGAGATGATCAGCGCTTTGTTTTTAATATCCCGATATCATTACAGCTTGCACTTCCACTCACCCAAATCATGTACTTTATAATCCTGCTGGTGGCAACGGTATATTCCTCTATTAACTCTGCTAGATAGTACAGGCCGGCAGCTGCAATGACAAAAGCAGAGACATTACAGAGAGTCTTCAAACAGATTGAAACACAATCACTAACAGCGATGTTGTCCTAGATTGTTCACTTCTCCGGCCTTCTCCAAACTCTTCACCCTTTTGTGAATAGACCTGTAAAAGGTCATACAAGTCTTCCAGCACTGTGGCAACGCAAGTAACATGCCTTGCTGCACTTGAAAGGCACCACAGGGCAGAGTTAGGCAACCTGAGCATTCCAGATGTGGTAAAATTACAAGTCCCATGAGGCATTGCAAGACTGGTAGCCACAGGCATGACGGGACTTGTAGCTTCACTAGCTTGAGTGCCCAGGTTGCCTACCCTTACATTAAAGGAGAACTATGAGGTGAGTGCTTTTCACTCACCTCATAGTTCTAGCCGACGTGTGACAATGAGACTGTCACAAGTCGGCTCAGTAGATCGAGAGGTGAGCGAACACATGCCGGTGTTCGCTCACTTCTCGATCCTGTCACGACTCTCTGCCGTGACAGGGGAGGGGATGGATTCCCCCCTCCCCGCCAGCGCTGACTGGCGGAACGGACGGGGGTGGGTACAGCTGGCTCTGCCTCTAGATAGGCAGAGCCAGCTGTCACCCACGCAGCTGGGCGGATCTCGACATCGATGCCGGGATCCGCTCCGGCGTCTCAGTATACCGCGAGCTGTAGCTCGGCACCGGGCACTACATTTTGAATGGCTGCTCGGTGCAAGAACTGACAGCGCTGCGCTAAGGGGAGGCTAAAGGAGCCTCTCACCTAGTAAAGTGGAAGGCACGCGGGGACCCACCGAACACAGTGTCACGACCCACCAGTTGAGAACCAAGGCTGGTTCCTGTCTGGCCACACAGTGCAGAGCCAGGAGCCGCTTCTACACACTGCATGTTACCCGTGTAATTAGCTCTAGAAACATTTCACTCAGTTAACAAAAGTAGAGCAAACGATTACATGGCAGTAAACTCTGCTGCTGTGCAAACACTGAGCTGCCCTGGGTTTAAAAAAAAAAAAAAAAAAAGGGAAACAGATTTGTTTAATTATTTTACATTTTACAAGTTTGGAAACTGGTGTGTTATTTTTTTGTGACTTACATAAAATCTTTATTCTACAAATAAACATTTATTGGTCTATGTAATCAGGCAATGCATGTGATTTTACCAAACTTTCAGTAGTGCTGGATCAATCACTGTCATTTTAAACACATGCACCAGGAAGATTTACGTGCAGTGAATGTTTGGTGAATGTCAACTTCACTGCTTTGTAAGTATG